TAGTCCTGCTTCTGTTCCTTTCCGAGTCCTGCTGTTCCAGGCGGGCCCCCTCCAGGCCCACCAAAGAGTTCAGTGCTCCCCAAATGTGCCAAACTGCTGTTTGGGGGCCCCACGCATTTCCCTGAGCTGTCCCCCACATCAGGAATGTCTGCCCCCACTGCCTGGCAGATGTTTGCCCCACACCCCCTCCTCTCTTCTCCTCCCTGGACCCCTCAAGCCTCCTTTCCTCATCCCTGCTGTAGCCCCCGAGTGTTTTCCCCACGGTGAGGTCATTTCGCCCTCCTCTGCTCGCCCCGTCTCTGGCCTACAGACTCTGATTCATCAGTTTCTCCGGAAGCCCAGCGCCTGGAACCGGTGCTAGAAGAGCATGTTCTCCCCCAACGAGGCCCCGTGGACTCTGGCGTCTCTTCCTGCAGTCGGTGGATTGTGGGCAGAGAAGGCTGCGCTCTGCTGTCTAGAAGCCGAATGGGATGGAACCACACTGCCAGGCAGGGAGGAAGAGGTGGGGCCTGGCTTGGTAGGGATGAGTGCCCCCAGTAAATGTGGGTCCAGAGAGGGTCGGTCACTTGTCCAAGATCACACAGCAGTTTCGGGCAAGGCCAGGATTTCTGCCTAGACGCGTCTCACTCCGAGGCTCAGCCATTCTGGGTGAAGCCTGGAGGGGTTGTGGGCGTGCAGGCCGGAGCGGCCGGGTCCCTGGTGCCCCTCAGAGGCCAGGCTCTCAGGACACTCGGGGGTGGTCCTCTCATCACAGGAAAGGAGGGGCTTGAGGCCGGCAGTGCCCTGGCGGGGGGAGGCCTGCCTTTGATTCTTTGATGCTCACGCTTTCGGACCCCTGGGGAATGAACGCCTGAGTCATCGCTGAGCCGGCAAACATATTTAGCTCCTTTCATCGTCCCTAATAAATCAATTTCTCCAGGTCTTTCACACCTGCCGCCCGACTTGGGCTGCCTGCCCCCTATCTCCTGCCCCCTGGCATCCGGGCAGGGGCCCAGCGCCAGCTCCGGGTGCCAGGCCTCAGGATGGAGGGGCTCCTCCTCCCAGGCACCTGGCAGGGGTCCACCTTGCCTTCTCAGAGCCCCCTTGCCCTTTCCTACCCCAACCCAGGGCCTCGGTGCCAAGCTTGCCCGCCCTCAGGCTGGGATGGCTCTGTTCGGCAGCCACGTTACCGGATGCCCCAGTCAGGGCTTCGTGCGGTCGGAGCTGCCGCCTCGGAAATGCAGGGATTGCAGCGCCGCGCACGCAGCTCGGCCTCCGCCAGCGCCAGCATCCCTCAACCTTGCACCCCTTTGGCCCACCGAGGGTTGTGTTTGGGGCCCAGGGGAGTCCCAGAAATACCTTGCCTTGTCCTGCCCCCTATGGCCCACTGGCTGGAAGGCCCAGGTCCCCACTTGGCTTATATTTCATGAGCGCCTCTTCCAAGAAGCCTTCCCAGATCTCCCCCACCTACGGCTCATGTGAATGTTTTCTTCTCCAGTGACCCCAGCCCATTTGTATCTCCATGAAAGCAGGTACTCAGTCTGCCTGTGGCAAAAATAATAGTGGCACTTAACCCTGAGTAGCTGCCCAACACTGTTCTAAGCATTCTGCATAAGTTTAATCATTCCTATCTTTTCGATGGGAAATCTGAGGCCCAGGGAGCTTGGGAAACTTGCTTAAGAATAGGGTAGAGTTGGGCCTCAAACCCAGGCCCTCTGGGCAGCCCTCGCCACTGCCCCCTGGGCCCTCTCACAGTACGTGGCTTTTGTCCCACCTGCTCACCCCATCCGCCATCTGTCCCAGGGGGAGCTGCATTATACCCTGGCCTGAGACCCCCTTGCATGCGGAAGTCCCCACTAAGGGTTCACGCCACAGAGCTCACCTGGCCCAACCCCTCAGGGAGGAAAATCGCATCCAGAGAGGGCAAGCAACTAGTTCAGAGCCCCACAGCCAGAAATGGAGACAGCCCAAGTCTCCCTGCAGACTCCAGGACCCAGTCCGGGCCCTGCCCGCATGGCTGCCCTGCACGAGGGGAGAGGGAGGCTCGTGCTCGTCTCGTGCTCGTGTCCATGGGTGTCTTGGGCTGCTCGAGCCCGCAGACCCCAGTAGACCTGGACCCCCCATCCCCAAGATGCCCAGGCCAGGGCTCCACTCTGGACAGAGGTCCCCATCCCTGCAAGGGGCAGTCGGGCCAGGCTGGGCCCAGTCTGGCGGCAGCACGGGAGCCTCTCATCTGCGTGTGGTGGGAGCCCCCTGCTGCCCAGAGCGAGGAGCGGCAGAATGGCGGGGCGGGGGTAGAGGCTGCCGGGCAGGGGTAAGGGGGCCACTGAGTCACACTCGGTTCCCGACTTGTGAAGCAGCTCCACCCGCCTCTCCGGCCCCTGCTCCATCCCCAGTGGCACCCACGTTCTCACAGGTCCCTAGGCCTCCAGACATGTGAGCCTGCTCATGCTCAGGCCCAGAGAGCCTTTTATCAGCTAACTTCAACTGAGCCAGCTACTATTATGCACCCACTGCGTGCCAGGCACTGGGGAAGTGCACAGGCCAGTGGGGGGCAGACGTGAGGTGAGCTCAGGGCACTGTCAGGTGTGTATCCTTTCCCTGGCCTGGCTGCCAGCACGCAAGCACCCTCCTCTGAGAAGCCTCCCCGGGTTGCCCCTCTGCCCGGCCCAGCCCTGTACTGCCCCCCTGCCCACTCCGTTACAGCACGAGTCAGCCGGGCTGTGACTGGCCGTTCACAGCTGTCTCCCCGACTAGACTCGTCTTGATCTCCCCGGCTCTGTGCGGGAGCCTGGAGCGCAGCAGCAGCTCGGCAAGCACGGGCTGGGTGGAGGAAGGTATGGAAAGGTGACCAGTTCAGCTCCTTGTGGTCTTCCAGGAGTGACTCCAGTGGTGGGACCTCAGGCAGGGGGCGGGGTGAGGGTGTGGGGGTGACCTTCGTGCCCTGCCACCTAGGCCGCACCGAGGCTGCCTAGAGTCCTAGAATTCAGGACCACTGGAATGTGAGCCCCATGCAGGTGGGGCTTCTGTCTTGTTCTACAAGTGCCTGGAACAGTGCCTGGCACACCGTAGGTGCTCAATAAGTATTTGTGGGGAGTACAAATAAAGGAGGATAACAGAATTCAAGCTCCTCTGTAACCCCCCAAGTGATCATTGAAGAAGGTGGTGCGGGCATTCCTCCAGAGACAGGGAACTTACTACTTATCTCCTGGGGCAGCAGCTCTTTCTATCTTTGTTTATTTAATTCAAAATATTAAGGTAGTAGAAATGTTTAGGTTACATGGATTGCTTTTGTAATGCTTGTGTCCCAGCTATCGGTGTGTCTTTCTATCTTTAGATAGCCGTGACTGCTGGAAAGTTCTTTTGCCTTTCCCCGGGCTTGACAGAACCCGCTCACCCTGTCCCTGTTCTGAAGGAGCCCTGTTGGAAGTCCAGCCCCTGGGACTTTTGTCCAACATGGCGGCCAGTGTCCTCAGAAGGAGGCTCCAGGGCCCTCGGAGTGCCCACGCCTCCGTGGCTGGCCCTCCGGCCTTAGCTGGGAAAGGGACGAAGGTGAAGGCCAGCGTGGGGTCAAGGATGGCAGACTTGGTCACGGAGAGGCCAGAGCCCCACTCACAGGTGGGATCATGAGCTTTATTTTCTCTTCTGAGTGACTCCCAGAACAGCCACTCATGCCTAGAAAATCACCGATCCCACCCGCTCCATGGTGGGGGAAGCTGAGGACCAGAGAGGGAAAGGGAGTAGACTAAAGTCACACAGCCGGTGTGTGCCAGAGGCAGGAGAAGACCTCCGACCCCCGTCCCCCAGCCCAGTGTTCCTTTTGTGACCCCTGGCTGCCCCTCCACAGGCCAAATGAGGCGGCAGAGGTGGGGCTCAACTCACAGGCTGACGTGAACCTGTAGAAATCCTCAACTGTCCAGCAAGGCACCCAGCCCAGACCTTCCCTAGTGCAATATCACTACCAGGTACTTGCACACCTCCAGAGACAGGGATCTCACCACCTCCCAGGGCGGCTACTCCATCCTGACCCCGTGGAAGGTATGCATGTGTGGGCGTGCCTGGTGAGCTGCGGTTCCTCCTGAGTCCACCTGCTCCCACGCACTTGCCACTCGGGCTGGCAGTGGGGCAGAGGCAACCCCGTTTCCTGTTCCTCTGCCAAGGAATTTCCCTCTAGGGGCTCCCTGGAGCCTGTGTGAGGGGGTGAGAAGTGCTTCCAGCTAGTGGACTCTTCCCCGAGGCTGGGCCTCCCTGGAGACTGAGCCGGCTACCCATGTACGGAAAGTCAGCTCTACTCTGATGCTGCCGCAGAGGGCCTCGAGATGCTGGGACCCACTGGGCTGCCCCTCACCACCGTGGCACTGCTGGTCCATGCTCCAGGGGCGCCGTGGCCGAGACTCTGCCTCTCCAAGCATGAGCCCTTTGTCACTTGTTGGCTCAACCGCTGCCTCCAGGCAGCCCTCCTGGTAACCACAGCCCGCAAAGCTCTCTCTTCTTGGCTTCTTGGTTGTAGCACCCGTCTGCTTGAGTCCCATCTGTCTGGGACGCTCTCTGTCATTTCCTTGAGGGGTCCCACTTGCTCCTCTACCCCAAATAGACATCGTTGAGGGTGGAGTCCCCTCTGCTCTCCTCTTCCCAGCAGCCTCTCACCCAGAGTCTCCCCAGCTCAGTGAGCAGGTGCTGCATTTCCAGCCGGACGCTGGGTCCAGACCCAGCAGGAGCCAGGACGTTTCGAGCCCAAACACTGCAGTTTTGCAAGATCCGGAGAAGGACCATGACTTGGCAGAGGGCACACAGTGAGTCAGAGGCAGAGCTGGGACAGACTGAGGAGTCTGGGCTCCCAGTCCAGTGCTCCTGGTGTCTCCCTGGGGTCCCATCCGTGGGTCTGAGCTATGTGTGCGTGTGTGAGCGTGTATGTGTGTTTGTGCTGAGCCCTGTGTGTGCGTCCAAGCCTGACCTGAGGACAGGGGAGGAGCTGGCATGGTCCGAGCAGGAGGAGGAGCAGGAGGGCGGGAGCACCCAGGGAGCCCTGGCCCCTACTGCTTCGAGGGCCGACAGCACTTCTGAGCGCAAGGAGCTGTTTCGGAGATGAGGGTTTTGATGTCCAGAGAGAAGACGGGTGCTGGGTTCTGGGGCCGGTTTCTCTTCACTCGCTTTTCTCACCCTTTGCTGTAGTGGACTTAGGCGGGGGCCTGGGGGCCTTTCTTGGCTGCGGCTGGGTGCCCAGGGCCAGGGTGCCACCCTGCCGGGCTCTGAGCCCCCTGAGGTTCCCACTACCCTCCTGGGCTCCGCCTCCCCCTCTACGGTCAGCCCGAGGTAACGGGGGAGAGGGAGGATGTCTGCGGCCAGGGAAGCGTGCGCCGGGGCGGGAGGTGGGTCTTCAGGTACCACAGGCCACAGGGTTCCCGGGACGCTGGGCCCCAGCACCACTCAGGAAGCTCACTGCTTGCTGGCAATCTTCTTCTTCCGAGCAGAGACCAGGTCGTAGAAGGGGACGCGGGTGATGCTGGCTCTGGAATGAGAGTCGGAGAAAAGCTTTCAGGGCGGGACGGGCCATCAAGGGGGTCTGGTCTCCCAGGGCTGTAATCAGGGGCGTGGGGCTCCCAGGGAGGTGTCAGCCTGCTCTACCACAGCGGAGAGGCCAGGGGACCCCAGCAAAGGCTGAGCCCCGGTGAGTGCAGCCTCGCCGGCCTGGCCCAGCGTCCCGTGGGCACTGGGAAGGGTGAGGCCTCGGACCAGGAGCTGAGAGTCCTGGCAATTCTGTCCCAAAGTGTCCCAGACCCCTCTCCTGGCTCCCATCGTAGACCCTCTGGAGGAGGGGAAAGAGCGTGGGGTGGGGCCGGCAGGCCTCCTTGCCGGGCCCTACTCTGTTCCCACTGGCTGTGTGGCCCGGGACAAGCCCCTCCCCTCTCTGGGCCTCAGTTTCCTCATCTGTAAAATGGAGAGGAGAATGGGTCTGGCTCACAGGGCTGCTGCAAGGCCTGGGTGAAAAGACCTGCAAGTGTCTGGGCCCCGGCCCCGGCCCAGCAGCCGCGCCTGTCTTCCTGGCCCACGGGTCTTGCCCTCACCGATGTCTCTGGCTGGGGTGGAGCCAAGCCTGGCAGGTTCATCACCTTGCCCCTTCCCAGGTGGCCTTTCCCTGCTTCTCTCCCCAGTCAGTGGCCACATCAGCATCTGTCGCCTGGACTTTGACGACAACACCTGTCCCTCCATCGCCCACTTTGGCACTTTGGAAGCAGCCCCTACACTGTGGCCTTCCTCACCTGGCCACCTCTCCCCTATTCACCAGTCTGTGGCTCCCCAGGGCCCCCGGGAGAAACCAAAGCGTGTTGCCATGGCAACTACGGCCTTGCCATCCTCTGCAGCCTCAGCCCCCACACTGCCCGGCCTCACCTGGACCCTGGGATGCTGTCCAGGTGGGCTACCTGCTGACTGGCCCTCTTGGCCTTGTCCACACTGGTCCTTCTGCCTGGAAAGCCCTGGCCTCCACCTCCACCAGGCCCTTCCCAAGGCCACTTTGGGGAGTGGTGCCAACAAGGGCATCGTTTGCGAGCGCTTACTGCACGCCAGGTGCTGCACGAGAGCCCTACATGCAACACCTCGCCTGATCCTCCCAGCAACCCCACGGCTGGTCTCTCCCTCCACCACGTCCCCCACAGGAAGTGCCCATGGAATGTGGGCGGCAGGGGTCTGCAGGCCAGAAACACGAGGGAGAGTCCTGAGTTTGCCCCCTTTACAAACAAGGGAACAAGATCCAAGAGAAGCAGGGGCTTCTGGCAGGTGACAGGAAGCCGTCCCCATGGCCTGGGCATCCCTTACCGGATGGCCGCGATCCACTGGTCGCGCTCCTCGGCACTGGAGGCCGAGATCCGGTAAGACTCGTGCTTGCCCTCCACCACCTTGCCGTCGCCGTCTGTCTTGCAGGCCTTTATCTTCTGGCCCCGGCAGCCGGGGTTGTAGAGCTCCAGGCAGAACTGCAGGGAGTGGTGGGTGAGGGTGGGTCGGGGGCTGCGCTTGGCTCTCCAGGAGGCTCATAGAGGACCAGACACTGGGGCAGACAAGCAGCTGGTGTCCCCCCTGCAGGAACCCCCCCTCCACCTGCCTGCTCCCTATGACAGGTGGGGGGGCAGGAGCTGCCACCTGCACTGAGCGCTGACGACGTGCCAGGCTCAACCCAAGTCCACCATTCTCCCTCAAATCCCCGTGTGACAGGCGGGGACACTGAGGCTCAGAAAGGAGAAGTGACTTACTCAAGGTCATCCAGCCAGTGTCAGAGTCAAGCTCGGCAAGACAACTGAGGACAACCACGCCCTTTTGTTGACATGGACCCCTCCCCATGGTCCACGGCCCCAGCGGGGGGAGGAAGGGCAGCCCCGAGCCACACAGAAGGCGTGGTGGGCACAGTCCAGCTGCCAGCAGAGCCCAGCCCAGCCGCCCTGTCCCATGCCCAGTGTAGGAAGCTCCCCAGCAGCTCTGGCCTGGCCCCCACCCAAGACGTACTGGCTTCTTGGGGTCGTCCACCTTCTGCACCGAGAGGTTCTCCAGGGGTATGATTCCCCGTGGCTCCTTGTCCTACAGGGAGAGGGAAGGAAGGTCAGGGTCAGCAGTGGAGCCTTGGGGCCCAGGGCAGGGAGCAAACTTGTGGGGCTCCCCAAACCCAAAGAAGAGTGCGCCCTTCCTCCAAGACTTGTCCAGCCGGTGGGTGGGGCAGGGCAGCATGAGCAGAGCTCTGGCTGGGGATTAGAAGACCTGGCTTTAAGCCTGGGCTCTGCCTTGGCCCTTGGCTCTTGGCTCAGCCTTTCCTCCTCTTTGCACCTCAGTTTTCCTCATCTGTAAAATGGGCACAGAGGTGGACTGAATGATCTCAAAAGGTTCCAAGCTCTGTTAGTCGACTGCTTAGCGGGAGTTGGGAGTGGGGTTGGGCGGGGAGGCAGGGACCCCTGCTCACGGTGGTGAACTCGAAGTAATAGAGGCAGTTGTCGGTCAGGATGAACCAGCGCCGTTTCCACGTCTTCACGCGGCCCCCTGCGAAGGCCAAGAGGTAGCAGATTAGTCCTCCTCCTGGGCCGCTGACACCCCTCCAGGGAACAGCAGGGCCAGGCTGCTTCCCCTGAGCCCCCACCTGAACCCCCTAGCCCCTGCCCACTGCGATTTTCCCACATCCATCCCTTCCTCACACAAAAGCCTTAGCAGCTCTTGTCACCCCCAGGCCCAGGGCTGCTGGAGCCAGCATTAGGGGCTCCTCCCTGGTCAGGTCCTGGGCACAGTGGCTGGCCATTCCCTGCTCTTTCCAGCTGCCATGACTCCTGGGTTCATCCCTTCGCCTGCTCCCTGCCTGGCACGGTGCTAAGCATTTCATCTTTGATGTGCCAGGCACTGTTCTAGAAGGTTTCAATAATATTTACTTATTCATCTTCATAACCACCTGCGAGGAGGGGACCGTGGGCAACCCCATCTTACAGATGAGGAGACTGAGCCTGGGGAGGTTAAGTCGTCTGCCCAATGTCCTGCTGCAGAGCTGGGATTTGGACACGAGTGTCCTTGTTCCAGAGCCCCACTCTTGGCCATTTTTCCGCACATTTAACCCTTGAGGGGATTGTTGTCCCATCTTACAGCTGCAGAAACGGAGGCCGAGGCACCTGGCCACCAGCATCCGGGCGGAGGAGCTGGGGTTTGAACCAGGGCCGTACAAATGAGGCCCCTCTCCTGCCTGAGTCAGGAAGTGTGACTCAGAGCTTGCAGGGGCTGAGAGCAGGCAGGTGGGCAGGACAGGAGGCCAAGCGGTCTGCGGAGATAGGCCGGGGAGCGGGTGAAGAGAAACGCCGAGTTTGGGGGCGTTTGGGGGCAGGGGGCAGGACTGGTGCGACACTTGGCGCACAGTAGGTGCCAGAGCTCTGCACAGCGGGAGTTTGCCCAGGCTGAGGCCCCTGCTTCGACATGGGACATCTTTCCTTGCCTGCCTTGGAGGCACTGTCTGTCCCTGGCTGGGCTGTCCCTGCTGGGGAAGCTTCTGGAAGTGTGTGTGGAGGAGGCAGGGGCAGACGGCCAGGCACTGGGGTTCCCCTGCTGGACTCTGCTGCCGCTCCCACCCCCACTGCTCTCTGCAGGGTGGAGGCCCTCCCTGCCCCCAGCTAGCTTGAGGCGAGGCTCCCCTGAGCCACATCCTGCTGTCCTCCCACCCCTCCCTCAGGGACACCCCATCCTCTGTCCCCTCAAAGCTGCCTCTTGCTGGCTGTGTGGCCTTGGGCAGATGGCCTGGCTTCACAGAGACTTGGCTTCCTTGGAAAGGCCGCCCAGAGCCCGGCTGTCCTAGGGACTAGCACCCTGCCTGCACTTAGTAGGTTCTGAACAAATGGTACTTCCCTCTAAGACTGCTGTCCCCACCCCGCGGGGAGAGAGACAGAACTGCAGTTGGAGGGCTTATCTGTGGCTCTGTCTGCCTCTCGAGCCCTCTCCCTCCCCGCCCTCTCCCTTCCCTGGCTGGATGGGGCGGGCAGACTGCTGCCCTGGGGTCAGGAGACCTGGGGCTGCAGCTCTACCCCCGCGGCTGCCTGTGAGCGTGTGTGCATGCCGTGTGCCCACGTGCACGCGTGTGTGCATGTGTGTGCATGTGTGTGTGTGTCGGGGCCTGTGCCTGGCGGCCTCTCACCCAGCTTGAGCAGCCAGCCCTCCCGGTCCGGGTTGAAGAAGGTGTGCGTGAGGTCGTTGCCGTCGTCCTCAGGGATGGAGAAGGGCTCACTCTTGATGCTGTCGAAGAGGTTCTGTCCCGAGAGAAGGGCGAAGGACCTGGCTGTGAGTCACCTGAGTCCAGGGCCTGGGCCTGGCCTGTGTGGCCTCAAGAAGGTCACTCACCCTCTGGGCAAACTCTTTTTTCACTGGTCACCGGTTAGCTCCTCATGGCCCCTGGGCCCTTCTTTTGGAACCCTCCCTGGGCCCCCAGGCCCATCGGTGCTTCCCCTTCTGCCTGGGCCTGGCCTGGCCACCCCCCCACATCGTGCCTCCCCCTGCGCTACCGTAGAGCAGAGTGAGCGGGGCTGGCAACTCAGACACGTGTGTTCACACACATGCATACGTGCACACGTGCACACACACGCGCAGTGGCCAGAGTGAGCACCTCCTTGAGCAAAGGCCATGGGAGGAGGGGCCCTCGCTTCTGCTTGGCTGTGGCAGCAGAGACTTCCAGATACACCCTGGGATGGGGGGGCCCAAGGAGCTACCGGGGAGGAGGGATTGGCTGCTCCGTGTTGAGAGGCCCGTTCAAAGGAGAGCCCCAAGGTGGGATGCTGAGTGGCTCTCAAAGGCCCGTCTCCTCTGGATGGGCAGAGGTGGGGTGTGGGGAGTTCCCAGAAAGCAGACTTCAGTTCTCCATGGAAGCCTTTCTGGCAGTACGAGCTGGTGAAATGTGGAAGCAGCAACCTTGTAGGGTAATGAGCTCTTTGTCACCGGAGGTATGCAAGCCAGGGATGGCACCTCCCTGTGGGCGAGGTGTGGATGCTGGTGCCGGATCACCCCTGTGTGCTTTGAATCTCCTGCCAGGAGGCGTTGTGTTCCATGAACAACCTGCCCAGATTTCCAAGTGTTTGGAAAAACGTTCTAAACCGTCTGCTTAGTAAAGCCAGACACAGTGTGTGTAAGATAATGAAATCATTTCCTTTTGTTGCATTTGCATGTGCTGCTGTGCTGATGGTTTCTTTGAGATTTTAAATGAAACTGTCACAAGTATTGTTTGATTCTCCCAGACTGTTAGAAATGGTGCTTGCTGCTTCTTTACGTTCCTTTCTGACCTGAGACAACGCTCAGGGTCTGCAGCGAGGGACAGGCCGGAAGCGGGTTTCCCTGAGCCCAGCCTAGCGGTGGTGGCGTGGAGGTGGGGAAGACAGTGACCAGTTCTCTTTTGAGAGCCCCCACACCCCGCTCCTGGCCAGGTCCAGCCTTGCCCTGGGAACTCCCGGGTGGCTCTGGCTGGTTGAACAGGGGCCTGGGGCAGGAAGATCCAGCAGCAAAGCCACCAGCACAGGCGAATGTTTGGAAGGCCCAACCAAGGAGGTGTGTGCTGTTGGGGGGTTAGGTGGGGGCCCTCAGCCCCCACAAAACCCACAGGAGGACCCGGCAGCTTCTGTGGTCACCGTATCAGCCTGCACATTCCGCCCCCACAAGAAAACGGCTCGGCTCGCCCACGCTTCCTGTACCTTGTAACACCAGCCTGCCCTGTAAGAAAACGCTCAGCTGACTCCTGGCTGGGTGGACGTGCAGAATTACAAGGGCCCCTTCCAGTGGCTCTGCTGGCCTGGTCTCTGTCTGTCTCCCACCTCCTCAATTTTCCTCTGGGGGGGTCACCTCCCCTCTACTTTCTGTTTAGATTGCTGGGGGTGGGGTGGGAGGGGGTTGCCACTCACCATCCCCCACCTCCAGGCCCACGAGGGGGTGAATGACTCACTCATTTCTTCCTGCTCACCGCAGTTCAGGGAGGGACATATAGCCCAAGCTAGCCAATGAGCCTTGACCCCGGGACTTTAGTGTAAACTGCCGAGAAGGAGGACCGCTAAGCAGACTGGAAGCCTGGGCCGTCTCTGCCACGCCGGGGCAGAGCTTGTCGAAGAGGGAAACCAGCGCGGAGGAGGGGATCGCTGAGAGAGAGAATGACTGGATTGAGCCCTGATGTCCTTGGGTACCTGGATCTAGCTGAGCCTGAAGCCAACATGGCTGCAGGCAAATGGATCTCTGATCTTTTCAGTGGCCTGAGTTGAGATCCCCTAGCCAGGGAGCAACTGGTGCTGGGAAATGCAGCCAAGCCCTCCATCCCCAAATCTTGCCTCTGCTCTCTGCAGAGGGAAGGGCTCAGGACCCCTCACAAACTATGAGACCCTGGCCAGCTACTTCTCTTGGAGCTCTCCTTAATGAGAACACAAAGGACTTAGGACTGTGCCCAGCACACGGGACATTCTGACCGAGAGGCTCAGACAAGGACTCACGAGGTCCGGGGCTGCCTATAGTAGAAGATGCCTGGAAATGGGAGAATGTTTTCCTGCCCAGGCCTCAGTTTCTCCACCTGTAACTCTGGAGGGTGTTCTTGGCCCCCTTGCCTCCTGTCCCTCTTCCCCCTCAGCTCCCTCTCCCAGCAGCTCTCTCAGGGTAGGCGATTCCTCTCCTAGCTTTTCTCAGGTGCCTGCCGAGTGCCAGGTGCTTGACTTTTTCTCTGGAAAACAATGTGAGGTCAGCATGATCAGCCCGCTTCTCAGATGAGGAAACTGAGGCTCACACCCCAGGTGGTGTAACCATAAAGGCAGAGCTGGGCTTGGCTCTCCCATCCTGAGTCCAGACCCTGCACCTTTGCCCAAGCCTCTGGGGCACTGTGTCCCAGCCCCATCTGGACGGCCAGGGCAAGACCCGCTCAACCCGCCTGTCCCCCCACTGCCACCAGGCTCCCCTCCACAGCCTTTCCCAGCTCACACCGCCACGGTCCTCGTGCCCTTGGGATGACTGCTCTTTACGTAACATATCCGTGTAAATTTAATTTTACAATTTAGGCCACTGAAAAGCATTACGCGTCCTTCTCATGTGCTGGCCCAAGCTGGAGTCGCTGCACGGAGAATCCTTCTGCAAAGTGGGGAATGTGGAAATACCTGAAGGTGCTTCAAGCTGAGTCCTTGCTTTACACATGGGGACGATGAGGCCCAGAGAAGGCGAGAAGACCCCCAAACCCACGCAGCCACCTGCGAAAGTCGTGGCTGGCACGGAGCAGGCCTATGTGGTTCTCTCTATGCCCTGGGAAGCTTCAGGATTAATCAGCCGCACCACCTGCACCAGGCACTTTGCTAAACGCCTTCCGTTTCTACAGCAGTCCCGTGAGCTGGGAGCCAGAGCGGTCAAGCCACTTCCCAACGTCCCGCAAGCAGAAAGGGGGCGGCCAGGCCTGGGTGTGGCTGTGACTGGCGCTCTGTTCTTTCCCCTCCAGCCTGGCTCTCCGGGCTGCTGAAGAGGATAACAGGCCCTTCCTAGGCCTCCCAGGCAGGTTCTGAAGCTAAATTGGGATAATAGAAGCCACAAGTTCTATACGGATGTAGCGCACTGTTATTAGCAAAAGGCTGGAATTGGGAAAACACCCAAGGCGGTTCTGAAGAAGCCCACTGGGCTGAAGGCAGTAGTGGCCGGAGATCCGGAGGGACTAGTGCCGGGGAGGAGTTAACCCATTGCCTGCCAGACAAAGTGCGCCCAGCATGGCGCCAAGAGGACCCCGAACGGGGTGAGTGAGCGACTCTCAAAGGTCTTTCATGTTTCAGGCATTTTACTAAGTGCTGGGCTTTTTTCATTGTTAATTGTTCTTAATAGTGACACGAGCCACATTTAGAGCCTGTACGATGTACCTGGCACAGGCTCTGCCCTTTGCATTTTAAAAAATTACTACCCACTGCCGTTCTCTGACACAGGCATTATTATCCCCATTCTGCTGGTGGAGGGAACAGTGGCTCAGACCCCAGTGAGTCATTGCCCAAGGTCACCCGGCAGGCAAACGGGGGAGCGGGACTTGACCTGAGCTCCAACCAGCTCTCAGGCCCCCATTCTACACAGTGGCCCCTTCAGGGTAAACCTCCTCTCCCGGGGCCAACGTGGGCCGTGGGCTAAGGGTGAGGCAGTTCTCAGACTTTGGGGACACAGAGTCATTCCAGACCCAGGCTCCAGCCCAGCCTTTGAGGCAGGAGGTATACACACGGCACTGAGCCAGGAGGGTGGTGTTCATGCCCCTCCTCGCCTCCCTGCTGGGCTCCGACTGTGGAGGGGACTGAAGCTCTCTTGAGCCCTGGGATGTCTCTAGTCCTTGAAATGAACTGTGCGTTCATTTTTGCTAAGCACAGCCCTGAATCTCTCCCTCCCATGACCACAGATGGCTCCAGGCTCTGTCCTGCCAGTAGAAAATAGTTAAACTGTCCTTAGACACCCCGGCCCTGCCCTACCCCCCATCGCTGTCCACACATACCCACACCTCGCCAGCCACACTGGGTGCCCCTCCCCTCCCAGCCAGGCCAGGCCTGGGTTCTGTTTCTTCTTTCTGGAATGTCCTTTCCCTGTTCTCCTCTGGGGATACTCTTGTGCAACCTTCAAGGCCCAGCTCAGAAATCACCTCTTCTGTGGAGCCTTCCAGGATGGCACCCTTCCCCTGCCGCCGGGAGAACGATAGTGTCTTCCTTGTCCCCATAGCTACGCTCCCATAGCCAGCATGGCGTGAATCACGCTGGGGTGTAATTCACACGCACTGATATATCGGCTTCCCACCACACCCTGAACTGGGCAGGGAAGCACTTGTGGTTGATTCATCCCTGGGTGACCTGTGCCGGGCACAGGGCCTGGCATGGTGTGGAGGGGCTGCTCGGCAAGGAGACAGGAGGCTGGGGTCCTGCTTGGCTCCTGAGCTAACGCAGGGCCGGTGGAAGACCTCGGTTTCCTCCTCTCTAAAGGAGCGAGGCGTTTGAACAGGCTCAGGATTTTCAGCCCTGACATGCCGAGAGTCTAAGGATCTGGGATTCCAAGAAACAGACCTGGGCTGCACGAGGTACCCATTTTGGAAGCTGTGAATGATGGTGCCCAGACTCTCCCAAAGGCTTAAATCTGGGAGGGCCTCCTGGGTGGGCTGTCTCCAGACACCCTTTGCCAGGTAGGGGCCACTCCCGGGAAGGCCTGTTTCAGGACCAACCTCTTCGTGATGGTCCATCTCAAGACAGCCACCAACCTGGGTGGCCCGTTCCGGCCGGGTCCTCTCGTGGAGTGGCCTGTCTCAGAGGAGCCCCTCTTGGCCATGCATCTGGGGACAGCCCTGCCTGGATGCCCAGGGACTGGGCTGGGCGGGCTGCGGCCCTCTTACCCGAAGCTGCTCCTCGGGCAGGTCGCTGCCATTGTTGATGCCGCGGTTCATGGACACGAAGCGCTCGAAAGGTGGCCTGTCCCGCACGTTGGGGTTGTGGAGGCTGGTGTTGAGCATGATGACGGAGAAAGACAGCACGTAGCAGGTGTCTGCGGAGGGGCGGCGGGTCACAGTCCTGGCCCTGGCCACTCTCCCCGCCTCTGCTCCGACCCCTTCTAGGGGCCAGGAATCTGCTGCTGCAAGGCCCTCAAGGTCAACTCTGTCCCCCGGCTTGGCATTCGAGGCCTGGCCTCACCTCCCACTCTCGCTGGACCCCTGCTCCAAACAAACCTCAGTGGTCCCGTTCCTGAGCCCCTCTCTGCCTTCCCGTCTCTGCGCTTTCCCTCCTGCCGGGCCCCTGCCGGGCCACCCGCCTTCCCTCCTCTGCCTCGGGGCCCCAGCTCCGGGCCTCCTCCCACAGAGCCCTTCCGGCCCCTGCCCACTCTGTTCTCTGCCTCCTCCGAACTCGAGAACACTCATTGTTGGCAGCACTGTTCAGGGATTAGCCACGTGCCGCTTTGTCACCGTGCTGGCATCGGGGGGCCCTGAGCTGGTGCTCCTGTTCCATTATTCAGACGGCCACGTGCTGGGGAGTGAGGCTGGGCTGAGGGTTTGGGGCGAGGTGGCTGCAGCTCCGACTGCATCCTGAGCCAGGGAAGTCGGCTGTGTCTCCACCTCTCTGGCTGGCCTAGGGAAGTACCCCACCTCCCTGACCTTCAGCTCCCCTGTCTGTGGCATTCATAGGTTAATCTGTGAAGTAGCTCCCTGTTCTAGAACATCGATGATTCTGCCTCTGATAACGGTGGCACATGACTGTCAGTGCTTGTCTGTGCTGAGCTCTTTATACCCCATGACCATCCTGTGAAGCAGGTACTGCTACCACTCCCATTATATGGATGAGGAAACTGAGGCCCCGGGAGGTTAAGTTACATGCCCAAGGTCTCAAAATTAAAGAAGTAATGGGACCATAATTCAAATCTGGTGCTTTACAAATTCCTTCCTTCCTAGCTACAGATATTTATTGAGCACCTACTCTATGCTGTGGGCCTGGGAGCCATTGGTGATGGATCTGATACGGTCCCTGCCCTGGTGGGGCATTTGGACTTGTGGATCTGACAGGTAATGCACGAGCAAACACTAAATTAACATATAACTGCAAAGTAGGGCAAAGGCTCTATAAGATTTGTCTGTGGGCACAGCCAAGGGATGGCGTGGCCATGGACAAGTGACTCCATGTCTCTGAGGCTGTGATTCTATGCTTCAAGAAGGGAGGAGACTACTCCTGACCTCACAGAGCGGATGTACGGACTCAGTGACTTCGTACCTGTGAAGCACTTAGCACGCAGGGACTGCTTAATAAACAGAACTGTTATGATAACTCTAGATCGAGAGAAGAGGCCAGGACAAGCTGGTTGTGATGGTCTCTCACCCACCCCATCCTCTGGGTATCTCTGCTTGGGCATTTGGTTAGCCCTGGGAGAGAGGGGTATGCAGGACTGACCTTCGTTGATCTCCTTCTATGTCCCTTTGCACCCTATACCATACCCTGGCTGATTCATGGCTTCTGGCCTTTGTTAAAACTACAACTCCTGCCAGGAAGTATCTTTTTCCCTTTAACCTCCTGGAGAACTCCTATTCATCCTTCAAAACCCTATTCAGACCCCACTGCCTCCAAGAAGCCATTCTGGACTTGCTGATTCCTCTACCCTTGGCCTCAGACAGGGGTTCCGCTGCCTTAGCACCCCATGCCATCATTTCCTCCTCTCCCAAGGACCATGTCCTGAGGCAGCCCTGGTAGACAAGCACCCAGAAGAGGGCCCGACATGGAGTTGGTGTTCAGTGAGGGCTTGTGAAGCGGTCTGGGCTCCCAGCATCTGGGTGCTTGGGGGAAGCCTGAGGGGGTCTGTGAGATCTGTGCTTGGCAGTGCTGAAGGGGTCCCAGAGCCCTGGGTCCCACCCCACTCCCAGCACCTGTGGACTGGAAGACGCCCGGGTTGCAGAGGCAGTATCGAGTGGCAAAGGTCTCCATCATCCGGTCAATCTTCTGCGCCTCCCCCGGCAGCCGGAAGCTCCACAGGAACTGCCTGGCGGGGAGGAATAGGCCATGGGCAGGGGAGGAGGGGGGCTCTTGGTGGTCCCCAGACAAGCTGCTCTGCCTCTCCCAGGCCTAGTCTCCTTATCCTGTAAGTGGGAGGATCTGCAACTGGGCAGCCTAGAGTCACGGGGAAGGGTACGTGGGATTTGCATGTGTGCGTACCAAGCACGCAAGAGGTATCTAGGAAATGCCTTCTCTTTTGGAACACGGGGACAAGCATGCGCTCCCCTCTGACCATCTGAATCCCAGCCCTGACTGTGGCCCAGTCCGCCTCAGCGCATAAGGAGGCCTCGGCCCGCCTTGCGTTCGCAGCTGCCCTGGCCTGGGCCCTGGGCCCTGGGGTCCGGCTGTGGGGCCCTGGCAAGTGCCTTTCCCTGGCTGGGCCTCTCTTTCTTGGAACCTAAGCTTCTCTCCAGCTCTGGAAGTTGGTGATTTCAAGCTTCAAGCCAAGTTCCCTGAGGGCACTGGCTGTGCCTGTTCCTCTCACATCTCTTCCTGGGCCTCACAGGCCTGGACACCTAGGAACTGCTCGGTAACCACTCAATCGCTATGGAATAAGTGATTGGGTGAATGAATGAATGAATATGAGAGACTCCGATGTCACCTACCCCTCTCCCTTAAAGAGCATAGGAGTTGGAGGGCAGGCCACACTACCTGGATAGTGGTAGTGTTTTCTTTCTCTGTTTTGCAGACTCCTACTCACCTGTCAATGCCCACATCAGATGCCCCTTCTTGGGAGCTGAGTTTCCAGGCATTGCTAGCAGCAGCAAGACTTACTAAGCACTTACTATGAATAAGTTCTAAACACTTTCTCCTTTAGTCCTCACAACACTGTGAAGTTGGAATTAGTATCCCCATTTTACAGATGAGGAAATTGAGGCACAGAGCAATATTACTGTGACCTGCTCCAGGTCACTCGGGGGGTGAGTGGCAGAGCTGGGACTTGAACTGTGTGGTCTAGCTCCAGAGTTTGTGCTCCTAACTGATACACTGTACTGTCTCTGTAGTTATAAAACTGAGTACAATAGCAATATTCTAATTAGAAAATAAGTAATAATAAATGCTATACATACTAAGCTGCATTAATGAAATAAATAAAACAAGCACTAATCCAAAAAGTAGTAGAATCATGGTAAAAAGTGATAACGATTATAATGATTAAATATCATCATAACGATATAATAATACTAGTAGCAGTAGCAGTGGGCCAGGCCCTGTTCCAGGCAGTCCTCCTCGGCCCTGGGACGCGGGGACCGTCACTAATTCATTTTTGCTGCTCGCTTCCTCCTCTTTGCTCCCGGCCCTTTGTGCTGTCAGCTGTGTGTGTCCTGATGCCCCCAGCCCCTGCTGTGCCGCCCCTGAGGGCCGAGTCCCTGCCCCCCAGACTGCTCACCTGAGGGCCTGGACGAGGTTGAGGTTGGCGAACTCGTGGCAGTCCACGAAGGCCTGGAGGACTTGCAGGTTGACAGGGTCCCTGGGGAGGGGACAGAAGGGAGGGCGGGACTCACTCGGGCACTTGCTGGCACCCGCCTCCTGGAGGCGGTTGAGGTGGGGGAGGGAGAGGAGGTGAGAGATGTCTGTCCTTCCGTGGTCCAGCCACCATCTGGTCTCCTCACAACTGTCCCACCCATATCACAGCCCGAGGGCACAGCCGCGTCCTCCCATGCAGGCAGGCACTGTCACACCCCTTCGCGGCTCACCAGCACTGAGCGGGCCACGGGGGGAGCTCTGGCTTTGGAGCGGCCTGCCCTGTGTCAAGTCCTTCCTCGTTACTTCCTACCTGGGTGACCCCGCTCAAGCCACTTGACCTTCCCAAGCCCCAGTTTCCTCATCTGTACAATGGGGAGAACCGGGCCTCCCCCATTTCCTGCCTCTTCCTAGCTCTTGAATGGGGAGGGCTGCCCTTCTCGCCGCGTGCATTTCCTGCTCGCCTAGGGAGGGAATCGTGTCCTCTGGGGAGCTTGGGAGAAGGATCACCAGTTCCTGGCCAGTTCCACCCTTTGCTCCTACAGCCTACCTCATCCACCAGCCAGAGGGGTGGTCTCAGACCACTCCCCCACCCAGAGCCCTCCCACGAGTCCCCACCTTGTTGCCTACTACTTCCTCCTACTCTTTCCCCTCTTCCAGTCTCATTAACTTGCTGTTCCTTAAGCCTGCTTCTGCCCCAGGACCTTTGCACTTGCTGTTCCTAAAATGCTCTTCTCCAGTGTTTGCATTGCTCACTCCCTCAACTCCTTTAAGTTTCAGCCAAACATCACCTTCTCTGTGAGGCCCTTCCTGTCCATGTGATTTAAAATCACAGCCCTACCCATAGTTCCCAGCACTTCTGACCCCTCTTCCCAGCTTTATTCATATCCCTAGAGCTTATCCTTTTCTAATGTAGTTTGCATATATTGAGATCGGTCTTCCCCATTAGGAGGTAGGAGGTGCCTCCCCGAGGGCAGGAGCTTGTCTGCTCTGTTCACTGGTGTGCATCGGAGGCTTAGGATAATGCCTGGAATACAGATGCTAAATAATATTTATTTGTCAAATAAATGAATGAATGAATGAATGCAGGCAGGCAGGCTTTGGCTCAGTCCGGAGAGGGTGAGCAGTTAGCCCCCTCAGGCCCTAGGAGTTAGGACTTTCCTGACATAATTCACTCTCCCACTTACCTGCACATCCACACACCTATACACCCTCATCTCCTGCCTAAGGCCCCGCCCCCTTACCTCTCCCCCAGGTAGGTGCCGATGGCTGTCTTGTTGAGGCCCTCGCCCTTGTACAGGAACCGGGCGATGTCCTGGACGTCGGGGCTCAGCAGCTTGTGCTCAATGAGATACTGGATGCCCTGGAGGGGACACAGAGCCTGTGAGCAGCCCCCGCACAGCAGCAGGCCTGGGGGCAAGGGGGCTGGGAGGGAGCCCCCGTGGCCAGAGCCCTGGGGCCCGGCATTCTGGCGTTGGCACAACTTGTTCTGGGAAGTCGTGTCCCCTCCTTTATAGAAGCGGCCTCCATGAAGTGCTGAGCTCTCCGTCACTGGAGGCGTGCAAAGAAAGCTGGGCTTCCTGCAATGAGCCAGGTTCATGCCAGGTGCTCCCCAGGGTCCCCATTCAGGCTGGCATTCTTTGATTATATGCTTCAATGATTCTATGAATTCATAATTCTAAGATTCAATGATTCAGCCCTTCCTTTTGTTCCCCTAAAACTCATATTATTTAAAAATAGTGTTTGATTCTTTCACACAAGTAATCTATGTCTATTGTATAAAAGATAGAAAAAACAGCTAAATCAGAAGGGGAGGAAATTGCCCCAGTCCTGCACTCGGAGGTAGACACTTTCCATTGTGGTGTCCTTCCTTCCCTTGCTGTGCGAAAATGCGAGCAGACCACGCCCGCCACCCTGGGGCCTGCTTTCCGGATTTGGCAACTTCGCAAGCATCGCTCCTCACTACCCTGGCATTCGCAGTCCATCGCTCTGATTTTAGGAGTGTGAGGGGTTGACCCCTGGTTTTCTGTACTGGTTCCTCCTGTCTCACTGCTGGAGGTGGGTGCAGACTGTGGGGGGCTCGGAGTGACAGGCAGAGGGCACCGGGGACCCCTCAGGGGCCCCCGACGAGCCGGGGTGGGAGTGTGAGCTAGTGCGAGTGTGTGTGTGGGTCTGCGTGAACGGGGGTGGGGGCTGCGGGTCTGTGGCCCTGGGAGGTGACCGGCTGTGACTCTGGGCCTGCGATGGGGAAGGGGCGGCCCCTGACCCACAGCGGTCAATTTCCAGAGCCCCAGCCTGACACTCCCCACTGGCTGCCCTGGCCCCACCTTGGCGTGTGGCTTCCTCCTGTCTCTCTGTCCCTGCAGGAAGGGGAGCCCACCTGCCACCTGGCAGGGCGAGGGGTGGGGGTTGGGGTTTCTCCGAGGCCATGGGGGGTGGGGGTGGGGAGCAGGGTCACCCAGCCCTGAGCCCCGTGCCCGGTGCCAGCAGAGGGAGTGTGGGGCGGCACTGAAGGCTGGCTCTCCCCCAGCCCATGGCTGGAAGACACTTCTGGAGACCGAGCCCCACATCTAAGGGCCCCACTGCCCAAAGCCCTATTCAAAGAGGAGAAAGCGGGGGCCCAGGGTGGGGATGGACTGGCTCAGGCGCGTGGACATCACAGACTCCCCATCCTCCTGGCTGCCACCTCGTGCCCAGGGCTGCTATGCCGTGGGTGGACAGCGCCCCGGCCACAGCTGGCCATGGGACAAGGTGCTCAGCCCTGCTGGGCCACAGTGTCCTCTCCTGCGGGGTTGCTGTGTCCGTCCAGGGGAGCGAGAGGACACTGCGGAGGTGTCTGGCATGAAGCTTCCCCACCCCACGGCCCAGGCCCCCCACGACCGCCCACCTTGGTGGGGTCCATGTTGAACTTCTTGCGCCCGATACACAGCTCCTTCTCCTTCTGGGCCATGCGGCTGCAGACACGAGGATGTCAGCCGGGACTGCTCCAGGACCCCGAGGCACCCCCTCCCGTCCCCAGGGGCCCTCTCCCCAGCAGGAGCCCATATTCCCAGAGGCCTCCAAGTGGGGTCCTGGGCCCTCCATGGGAACCGCCTGGGAGGGTGAGAGAAACGCAGGCTCTGAGCTCCTCCCCTGACTCCTCCAATGGGCCTGGCATGAGCACTGAGCAGCTCTCAGGAGAGGAGCCCAGAGTTGCCGTCGGGGAGAACTTAGACGCGGCCCCGTCCAAGAAAACGGGAGGCTGGGGGTGAGAGCACAGGCTCTGGAGCTAGGCTCACGGTCACGTGGTTACCACTGTGGCTGGAACAGGGAGGCTGGAGACGCAGGGCCATGCATGTGTGCACACGTGTGAGTGGGGAGGGGAGGGGGCCGGGGAGGTGTAGATCTAAGGGGCACAGGGGCAGGGTGGGGACACCAGATGTAGGAGTCAGTGCTCTGGGGCCCTAGGGGATCGTGTAGGAACCGGCCTCCTCATTGCACAAATGGGGAAACTGAGCCCAGAGAGGGGCAGGACCAGCCCGAGGTCTTGGAACCAGTGGGAACCCTCCATAGCAGGAGCGGGGGGATGACGCCCTGTGAGTGGCGAGCGGGGAGGTGGTCCTGCCCTGGCCCTGCCCCTGCCGTGTGAGGCCTGGGCTCCCTCATCCTTGTCCTTGGGGCCTAGCTTCCCTTCCCCACCCCCATCCCAGGATGCTGTGGCCAGTGATCAGGCAGGGGCTGGGCCGGGGGCCAGGGTGAGACTTTCAGTGGAGGGGATGGGAGGACGGGGTGTCTCTCAAGAGAGGGTCAGTCTGGAAGCAAGGACCAGCTTTGACTGGGCATGGGGGCAGGGCCACCCTGCTCCTGTCTCATTGCTGCCTCCGCCTCCTGGGCTGATCCCCAGTTTCACCAGACCTGGGGGCCTAGGCACAGCCCCTGCTCATTCATGGTGTGCGACATGCTTGGGAAGCAACTGCGGCAGCTTCCCTGGGCCCCCCAGGCCCCTCACCTCTCCTCCGCGCTCTCGAAGCAGTCGATTTGGGCAAACACATCCGCGATCTCATCCTTCAGCTTCTGCGGGGTGGCAGAGGGTGCGATCGGGAGGGGCAGGGGCAGAGGCCAGGACCCGAGGGGTTTTACGACCCTCCCACAGCAACCACTCGCACCCCTGGGCGAGACTCCTGACCTGGCCCCCTCCCTGACCTCTATCCTGGGCCCCCAGTCTAAGGGACCCTCAGCCTGACAGATCCGCTCCCCAGATGTCTCCTACCCTCAAAGTCCCTCCATTGCCTCTGTCTACACCCGTCCCTCCACTGGCTCTTGTCTTTGGGGGGTGGGAGTCTGAGGCCCCCACACCTTAGCCAATCTTCCAACCTCTCCCCTCTGCAGCAGTGAAGTCTCCTGCCCTCTAGCCAAGCCCACTGGACACGCCTGCCCCACCTGCTGGCATCTCTCTGGCGCACAGCGTGGAGCCTGCCCCCGCCCTGCGAGACACCTCCCACGGTTCCCTGCTGCCCCCCAGTTCCACCGTCAGGCCCCAGCTGTCTCTGCCTCCCTCCATCTACTCCTAGGTGCCGAAATGTGCCAGGTACTACAGGGAGACCAGGGCACAGGCAGGGCAGGCCCTCTTCTCAGGGACGCTGCAATTCCCGTGGGCGTTACAGACGAGGACACTGAAGCACAGAGAGGTGGCGCGACACGCCAGGGTTGGACTCCACCCCAAGCCTGTTTCATCTTGACTCTGGAGGAAGCGCCTGGTGGCAGAGGAGACCCCCGACCCCTCTCCCTGCAACCACCACCACAGAGTAGAGGGGGAGAGGGGCAGCTGGTCCAGCCCCCTCTGCAGGGCAGTGGCATGAGCACCTGGCAAGCGACCCCAAGAAGCACCCCAGGCCCTCCCTCCTCAGGTCTCAGGGCCAGCTCCAGGCCATAGCACCTACACCTGAGCCCCGTCCGCTCCACCCATGACACCTTAGCTGAGTCATGGAGTGGCTACCCCACAAGTAAAATGGGGATTCATTTGCAAGTGCTAACTGAGCACCTACTATGCTCTACTAGTGGGCTGGGGCTGCAGTGGGGGTGGGGGGCAGGCAGACCTGGCCCTGCTCTTGTAGAGCGCACAGGCTAGTAGCACTGGGCGCATGAGTGGCCATAGGCTGAACAACTGTGCAGAGCATGGCTGAGCAGTGGTGTAGAAAGAGCCCAGCACGGAGCAGAGCTCAGTAAAGGACCAGGTGGCGAATGATTTCGCGCCTTCCTCCCTCACTGGCCTCTCGTGTGTGTAGGAGTCGGGGCACAGCACCTATAGCCAGGGTGGTCAGGGCAGCCTCCAGGAGGAGGTGGCATTAGAGCTGACAATCACATGGTGAGAGGAGCCACGAAGGGGGCTGGGAGAGTCCAGGTTGTGGGGGAACTGTACATGCAAAGGCCCTGGGGCAGGACAGAGCAAGGCAGTTCCAAGAGCAGGGCCCAGACCTGCCTCAGAGGGTTGCTGAGAACCAGATGAGTTGATGTCTAGGAAACCGACAGCTGAACTCCTGACCAAGTGTTCCCCAATTTAAGGGGATGAGGCCTGGCTGAGGCCACACAGCTGGGGTTAGCACCTGCCATGGGACGAGGCTGCTAAAGGCCCGAGTGGGGCTTGGCACACAGTAGGTGCTTTGTTGGATGGCTGCCCTCCATCCCCTACTGACAGGTCCTCGGGATTCTGTAGTCTCCCTGCTCTCCTACTCCTGGGGCTGGGCTGGGGCTGGGTGTGGCCGGGGTCTGGCCGTGCTCTCTGACCAGGCTGGGTTGGGAGCGGGAGGGTAGGTGAGCGTACGTGCGTGCTCGTGGGCGTGCGTCAGCATGGGCATGTGTGAGCGTCTGTGGACGCGGGCGCGTGCACCTGCGCGCTCACCTGGATGTCCTCCAGAAGCTGCTTCCGGTGCCACCTGATACGCTGCAGCTCCTCCGCCTCCCCGCTGCTCAGCTCCACGGGGTCTGCGGAGAGAAGAACCGGCCTCCTCCTCCCTCACTCGCTCCAGCCACACTGAGCGCGCTGCCTGCCTGAGGGCGCTCTTCCCTCCGGACACCCAGGACTCGCCTGCCCTCTTCCTGGGGCCTGCCTCCCCCTCCCTTGCTGTCCTGCTTGCTCTTTCTCCCACCGACCCCCCACAGAGACCCCCGCAGTATCGTGTTCACATGCATCTTCTCTGCCGCCCCCAGTGGGCCCTCAGCTCCACGAGTGTTCGCCTGCCTTGCTCTTCTGCTCCCTGCGGCGTCCCAGCACCGAGGAAGAGCCTGACACGGTAGCACTCAGTAAAGCACTTGCTGGAGGCTTTGCTGCTTCCCTGGAACTTGAATCTACTCCTTCACTGGCTCCACGCTTATTATTCGCTCACTCATTCACTTGCACAGCCCGGAAGTGGCACGCCATTGGCCTCACCCCCCACTGGCCGGGATGTGCTCACATGGCTACACCTCCCTGCAAGGGAAGCTGGGAAAGGAGCCCTTAGGACAGGGTCCTGGTGTTCTTACCATGTAAGGGGGAGAGGCTGGATTTGGGGGGACAGTTTACAGTCCCTGCCTCCAGATGCCGAGGCTCAGAGAGGTGAGGTGACCCGACCAAGGACTCACAAGGACAAGGTTACTGAGCTGGGATGGGACCTCGGATTGGGCTGACTACAAAGCCCGTGCTCTTTCATCTTCACCTGGAAATGAATCAAATGGGATGTGTGTGGTGCGTTCTGTGCAAAGTGCTATATGACGATTCCCACAACTGGGTCAGCTGTGCCACCTCCACTCTGCATTGTGGCTTCTGTTCCATCCACGACACTCTCCTGGTCAGAATCCCCATGGGCTCCCTATTACTCAGAGAAGAAGTCCTCACCCTGGCCCCGGGGCCTCCACGATCTCCCAGCGTCTGCAGCCGGCCTCATTCCCTGCCACTGTCAGCAAGCGCCTTCCAGTCCAGCCCGCCGCCTCCTCGCCGCCCCTGAAACGTCCGGTGCTCAGCCGCATTCCCCACTTTGCCCAGGCGTTCCTCCACCCTGCGGTGTCTTCTCCTGTCTGCCGTGCAGCCCCTGCCCGACCTGCATGCCGCAGCTCTAGGAAGTGCCTGGTCACATTTCTGCAAGGTTCTGCAAGCACAGACGTCAGCTCCCCCATGAACCCAGAGAGGAGGCCAAGTACCCCTTGTGCTACTTCTCTGAGGCGGCAGCCTCGCGTTGAGCTGGCAGGGGCCGAGTGAGAAGGAGCCCAGGTCCCCAGGCAGTGGCCTGGGGAAGAGTCATCAAATTCATCTTGACCACCTGTCCGTTTGGACTTTTCCAGGAGGATAAATGAGGTTTGAGAATGTCTCAGTTGCCGTTATTCTGAGTCTGGTCACGGCAGCTGAGCCTGAGACATAACTAATACAGCACCCTTGTCTACGAAATGTGAGCACAGCCTTTCCTAGGAGGGCGGCCGTCAGGAATAAAAGAGCTAAATGTTGTCAAACGCCCGGCAAGAATCCAGCATTCAGTAAGGGGCCAACACGCACACAATGGATGCTACGTTGCGCCATCCGCTCCTCTTGAGGACCAGGGTGCCCAGTCCTGCTGCTGGCTCACGGCTGAGACGCTCCCCAGGCGCTCACTGCCTTGCCCCAGGACACGCCCCTCCTAGGGGCAGCCACTGCAGTAAAGAACCAAGGCCCCTTGCCTAGTTTTCGGACCTGACCCCGTTTTCACGTCCAGAATGTACTGACCGAAGGAGAGCCTGGGTCCCCAGAAGGAAGGGTCCTGCAACACTATGGCAAGGACACGTGGCAATGATTCTCTGGCCCTTCCCGCAAAACACCTGTGGCCGTTTACTCTAGTAACCGCACGCTGGGGAAAGGGCGACATCCAAACGTTCTGAGGACTGTTGGACGCTGGATCCGAGTTGACATTGACACTTGAGACTGAAGCGTCTTCAAGGCCCATGAGGATGGGGGTGTACAGAGACCAGGTGACAAACGGAGTCCTGGCCGGGTCCAGGTCCCTAGGGGTCTGCTTGGGTCACGGCCACGTCCTGGTCTACAGGTGTGTAACTGGAATGGACATGCTTGGTTCTTGGCCCCACACTGGTACCTCGGCTCATGGGGTCAGGACCGCTGTAGTGAGGAAGGCTACTGGGAAATCCGCAAAGCTGCCTCATCACTCCCGCAACTACGAGAGGAAATCAGAAACAATGCTGTAACCTCAGGGCAATGGCAGGTGTTAGTGCCACCCTTGGGACCTAAAGGAGGCGGGGTGATGGCCTCATCACATCCCCAAGCGCTTCCCCAGTCTGGAGGATGGCAGCGGACCACCACGAACGAAGCAGGGGAGCCCCACTGCAGCTGCTGTGCCAGGCGTGGCGCCCTTGCTAGAGCACCTGAACACGGCCCGGCACCTGGTGTCATCATCGGTCTGGCAAATTGGTTGCCTTCCGTCTGTCGGGAAGGAGGGTCAGAAATCGTTTGCACCCACGTAGGATGCAGACTGAACCCTTCGATAGGCTTGCCCCAGCATCCTGTTAACGCTCCTGCCCTCCGTCATAGCACCGTCTGGAGACCCCAACATCGCACTGGTCCCCCATATTGGTGACAGCAAGTGAATCGAGCCAGATGAAAGAGAGGTGGCCCTGGTAAGACACAGGAGCTCCAGAGAGCGGGAGGTGAATCTCACGGCGATTCAGAGGCTCGCCACATCTGCAGACTTTTAGGTGGCCCCATCCTTTCTGGGACATCCCTTCCAAAGTAAAGGACGAGCATTTCCCTGTTGCGTCTTCCACCACTTAGAAGGAAACATAAAAACCTGGTAGGCCTCTCGGAGTTCCGAGGCAGCATATTCCACCCCTGGGGGTGCTGTTCCAACCCGTTCACTGAGTGACACACAAGGCTGCCAGCTTTCAGCGGGCCCAGGGCAGGGCAGGGCTCTGCAGCATGTCTGGGCATGGGCCAAGCTACCCGATAGAAATATGAGGAGTTAGAAGTATGCTCATGTGTAATTCATGGCGGCCCCAGCAGGAGACTGGCAATGCCAACACCTGGGGTTTGGGAGCAAGGCCATGCCCTCTGCAACAGAGAATTTATACACTGTGCAGAAAACAGTTTCTGGAATGCCCCCGGGTCCTGGTGGAGTCAGAGTGCCTGCCCGTGCAACACCAAGAAACTAAGCGGCCAGGATGGGTCTGTCTGACCCACCAAGTCATGAGGTCAGGCAAGCCCAACAGCAATCCTTTGTAAGTGGCTCACCCGGGAGCAGGCATAAGCAAAGCCAGCGGGCTCCAGTGGGCTCCATGGACAGGTGGCCCAGACCCTCACGTCACCCACTGCCATTGCACCAGGGCCTGTTCCTCAGCTCACACAGTGTCTGCATGGGTGGGCCCCTCACGACCTTCTGACAACAGAGGAAAATGCCCGAGCTGGGCTGCAGGCCAAGTGAAAACTAAGCAGCTGTTGAACTGCAGCCCTGCTCAAAGGTGTCCCGGAAGGACAGTGGCAAGAGGAGGTCCCCGCGCGGGCAGAGCCGTGAGCAGGGCTCCTGCGCGTCCACTGCCCGTGGGCAGAGAAGTAAGACTCTACGCGCATTCACCTGCAGCAGGGACTGGCCTGGCTTCTCAGGCCGAGGCCGCAAAGCAGGCAGGTTGGAAGGTTAGAGGTCAGGACAGGAGGCACGAGGGCGACCCTGCAGGAGTGGCACACAGTGTGGAGCTTTTTGTAAAGCGCGTTAGTGTCCCTCAGCAAGCGTCCAGCACAGGAGAGGCACTACAGCAGCGAGCCGGCAGGGCGACTCGGCCTGCCGGTGGCCGGCCACCAACAGTAAGCGCGGGCGCGGGGATGGAGCAGCCCGGAGGGGGCCGTGCGTGGACCTGCTCGCCGAGGCCCCGACCTGCTGCCACCGTGCAACGTCCACCGTGCCGGCAGCAGAGCCCGGCGTTGAGCCCACCGTTTCTCTCGAAGACCAACCGGCAACTTAGTGGCAAATTCTATTCTGCGAAAGTCAGCGATTCAGCTCGATTGGAGCCCACACGCGTTCGGGTATGTCTACCTTTCCTGCCCACAGGGCCTCAGCCAGCACCATTGTCCACGGCTTCCAGAATGTTTGACCCACCAACACAGCACCACATCGGACCAAGGGGCCCTCTTTATGGCGAAGGTGCCGCGAAGGGAGCGTGTGGCCGTGGGATCTGCCGTTTGTCTCTCCCATCTCACCAGCGGAAGACGCCGGCCCGATGGAGCGGCGGGGAGACTTTGGAAGGTGCAGCTGCAGTGTCAGCTTGGCGGCAATGTCCTGCTTGGACGGGGCACCATCTACCCGGGGTCACCATCTACCCCAAATCGATGGCCACCATAGGCCACTGTCTCCAGCAGGGAGTGCAGGCGCTGGGAGCAGGCGTGCTCCACACACCGCTCCTCCTGGCCACCCACTTGGGAGCTTCTTTCTGCGCCTGCACCTCTGAGCTCTGCAAATCTAGAGCTGGGGGGAGGGGCAGGTGGCACTTACACCAGGGGATGAAGCAAGGGCTTCATTAAGCTTTAAGCTCACAAACACCCACTCCATGCCGGCAGCTCTGCATACACGATGTTGTTTAATCCTCGCAACTCTGCGAAGTAGATGTTTTCCAGTGTAAGACACTGAGGCTCAGAAAGGTGAAGTGACTTGCCCCAGGTCACACAGCCAGGACGTGGCAGTGCTGGGATCCAAACCCCGGTTTGCTGACGCTCCAGCCTCTCTCTGCCCCGGGAGAAGGTTCTCAAGCTGCTGGGATATGCAGAGACAGAAGGTGTGAGGCGCCATCCACGTGGAGACAAGCAGGGCAGCGGGGCAGCCGCCCGGAACTCCTCTCCCAGAAACAGGGAGGGAGGCCGAGTCCCATCCATGGAAAAAACCAGTCACCTCTAGTCGACTTGGAGGTGAATGAGCAGATTTTTTGGTTTTGCGGCTGGCCGGGGCTCGTGCCCTGGTTCTGACCAGGCACAGCCGCCGGGGGAGGCCGGGTGCAGACAGGCCGCCTGTCTGGAGGAGCCGGGTGGGCTCTCACGTCTGCATGGATGCTCGGCACGCGCGGTCAGGAGGTGAGTGTGGGGCCCCCATGACTCAGCCCTAGGCCCACCCCCCTCTCTCCCCATGGGGTCTCCTTAGCTCCTGGCTCCTCCCACGGGCCCAGGACTCTCACAATCCTCAGTTCCAGCCCCTCGTCTGAGCTTCAGATCCGGCAACGTGCTGCCATCACTGCTCTTGTCATTATGCCCGCAACTGAACTCCCAAGAGTCTCCCCTCCACGCGGCCCCCTTCCTGAGGTCCTGAGCTCTGGCAACGGCCCCCACGCAGCCCCAGGAGGCACTTGACACCCACCTGTCTCTCACCCCTTCATGGGTCTCCTCCATGAACAAGTCCCGCCTATTTTCCCTCCATTTCCACGGCCCCGCCCTCATCCTAACCACTGTCACTTTGCTCCGGGGACTGCGATGACTCCCGATGCCTCCCTGGCTTCTCCACCTGCCCCGGTCCAGCCTCCCACAGCATCTCATTGTCTGGGGACAAGACCCCCAATCTTACTGGGCTCACTGGTCCTGCTCGTGCGACCCCCACCCTCCTCTCACACTGTGCCCCACCCGCCCCAGGACTGAGCTCTGCCCAGCCTCCCTGGACGCCCTTCCTTCCCGCCCCTGAGCTCTTGCCCAGTGGCCTTTGCACAGGCTGTTCCCTGTGCCCGGGATGCTCTTCCTTTTCCTCGTTGCCTGGCAGCTCCTGCTTACCCTCTGTCTCTCCTCCCAGCTGCCCTCCTGGGCCCGTGTGGACACTGTCCCCTCCATCGCCTCCTTCCCCTTCCCCACAACATTGCTGTGATCGAGCTGAGCCATTGGTTAAGGAAGGGCATGCTGGGTGCGCGCCTACTGTGTGCCAGGCCCTGTGTGCTCCCGGCTGTCCCCATCCACGCCCAACACCTCTGGAAGGAAGGTATTTCTGATGTCCTTCTATAGATGAGGCATCTGATGCTCAGACAGGTTAAATGTCCTGCCCCAGGTGACAGAGCTGGAAGGTGGCAGAGCTGGGATTCACATCTGGGCCCAGCTGGGGCTCTGAGGCCACAGCCCTGACGTTGATCTTCCAAAGCCAGATGTCTCCACGCAAATCATCAAACCCAGCAGACACTAAACCTGGATGTTCTGACACGGTTGCACGTTTGAGAATGAAGACAAGATGCAGAATGTCGCCTACAGACAGACCCCTCTGCCCCGCTGAAAAGCCAACCTTGTAGAGCTGTGGAAACTGAGGCACAGGTGTGGTTGGAAACACACACAGCAACACAGCTTCCCCGGGGAGTGGGGTTGCGTGGGAATGCTGAGGGGGTGCTTGCGTTTTTACTTATAAGCTGCTTTCACGCTCCCTCGTGGTTGACAAACATATCACGAATCCTCTCGGCCCACTGTCTCCTTCGTTGGGGTCCATCCCGTCCCCAAAAGGTGGCAACTGGTCAAGGGCTTCTGGACCTACATAACTGCACCGATGGCCCCCATGGCCTGCGGCAGCCAACATGGTGCAGGTGGTGGGCACCACGCCTTCCGCCCCTTCATCTGACTACTTGTTAAATACCAGATAGTTTCCCCCATTTCAGAGCTGAGGACACCGAGGTTCAGGGAGGGTGACAAGGACACAGCCTGACAGTGGCCACTTCCGATTCCAAGCCCGGTGATGGCGGAGTTTCAGGCACTGGTGGAGGCTCATGGAGATGGGTTGTTGGTATTAATAGGAATACACGCAAAATAATAAAATTAGAATCGCCACCCCCAGGGACCTCCATTTACTCCCCACTTAGCTCTGGGCCTCTCACACCCCACCAAGGCCCCTCTGGACCCCGACGCCGCTGTGCCCACAGGCGGTGGCCGCCCTGGCACCCGGACCCGGCTGCGGGCGTGATGCCCCGACCTGCCCCCAGCTCCTCCCACTTCCCCTTTGCCCTTCCTCTTTCCCGTCGTATTTTTAGAAATCTCTGCGCTTGCAGCCCTGCTTCCAGGACAGCTGTGCTCACTTCCCCTTTCCAGGGCGGCAGGACGACGCCATCTTGGGGCCCTCGAAAAAGAGGCCCCTCAAAGTGTCAGAGTGAGGGACGCTGGGGAGACCGGGGTGTGGGTGGAGCGCTTCCCGCCCTAGTCCCAGACGCCCCACAGGTGCCCCGGGTGGCTTCCTCTCCCCCTGCTGAGCTGCCTCTATTTTTAACTGCGTCTGCACCAGGCCAGTGCCTGTCTTTGGTCACGTTGGGGCTTTGTCACCTGGACCTCTCCTCCCCACAGGCTCTGGGGGAGGGGACTTTACCTGCTTCCAGACACATGAGCAAGGCAGGAGGAGGAGAGGTAGCCCTGGGTGAACCTCTGCCACCATCCTGTCCATAATCAAGGTGGGAAAACCGAGGCCCACAGAAGGAAGAGATTCACCATAACCGATGGCAGGTCGGTGCAGAGCTGGAACCTCTCCAAATCCCTGTGCGCCCCCCGCCCTCCCAGTTCCCCAGGCCGGGCCAGGATGACAAATCGGAACTCAGAGAGGGGAAGCCACCTGGCCATGGAGAGGCTCCAATTAAGATCCAGCCTGGATAAGAGGGGAATGACCTTCCCTCCCTCTCTCCCCTCCACCTTCTCCAGGAAGTCTTCCCAGATCTCCCTGCCCTGGTGGGAAAAGCCACTTCCTCCCATCTCCAGGTCTGTTTGCACATCTGGGTCAAGTTCTGTAGGATCCGTCTCCCCCCACACCCCACCTCCAACATCCCACTGTCTCCCCTTTCCCCACCTCACCCCCAGCATCCCAGACCAGCGCTCCCGGCAGGCTGAGGCCCACGGCAAGGTCACCTCCGTCCCCAGCATTGTGCAGCGCACTGGAGGACTGTTTACGGAATGAATGAGAAGACGAATCGCTCAATGGGAGACCCCGAGTCTCCCAACAAACTGCCTGCGCTGACCCCATTTCATCCCCTTCCGCCCCGTGGCAGCCTAAAGCAAAGCAGACCCCCCACCCCCGCCCCGATCCCCTGAGCTTTGCACAGCCCAGGCCAACTGGGGCTCTTTCTCCGCTCAGCTGCTTGTCCCTGCTCTGCCACTGACTGGCTGTGTGGCCTTGAGCAAGTCAGTCCTTGCTTCCGGTTCACCTCTGTGAGCCTCAGTTTCCTCATCTGCACCGCAGAGGCAGCCACCCCTGAAACCCCAGGTGTCAGGACACAAAGAGCAAAGCAACGATGGTAATCTTGAGCGGGTGACCGCCCCTTGCTGGGTCTCCCTTTGCCTTCAGTCGCCCCTCACACGGATTCACTGAGCCTGCCCAGTATGGGAGCCACCTGCCCCCAGAAGCCCACAGGAGAAGTGGGGGCAGGGAGAGAGCACTAGACAGGGAGTCTGAAGATGGGGTGTGGTCCTGCCTCTGCCTTGGGAAGATTTTCCCTCTCTTGGTCTCCTTTTCCCATCTGTAAGGGGGCAGCTGTTGAAATGGATCGGTGGTTCTCTAACTGTGTTCCCTGGAGCCGACGGCCTCCCCGCTCTGGGGGTAAGGGGAGCCCAGCGGGCAGGGTCAGGTTCTCCGCGGTGGGTGTTGTTGAAGAAAGGGCGCTTTGCTGGACAAGGTTGCAGTCACCTGGACCTGGGAAGCAGGACGGTTCCTACCAGGCCTCACGTTCTGGAATTCCAGGCAATTCTGGAATATTCTGAAACTCCAGTGCAGGAACCTGGCCCCTCTTCTGACCCTTCTCTCTGCCTCCCAGAAACACGACCTGTCCTGTTCTCTCCCCCAGCAACTGCTCAGCCTCCTCTCTCCTCTCTGTCCCCAGACTCATGGCCCTGGTTACCAGGGAGGGTCTCAGTCAGGCCCCCTGCTGCTCACGCCTGGCCCTCTGCTGGCTCTGATGGTGTCCTCGGCCTCCCCAAGGCCCCTCCAACCCCTAAAGGCAGAAAGGGGCCTCAGGACCCTTGAACCGCCAAGACAGGCATCACTGTCACCAACATCACAACATTGTCATCTTTATCACAACAAGTAAATTTTCTCAGTGCCACTTCTGAGCCTTTGCACTGGCTGTTCCTTCTGCCTGGAATGTTCGTTCCCCAGAAACTCCCATAGATCTCTCCCTCCCCTCCTTCAGGTCTCTGTTCAAAGGGCATCTCCTCTTGCAGCCTCTCCCCGCTCGCTGCTCCCTACCACCTTCCTTACCCTGCTTTACTTTTCTCCATCCTGCTTGCCACCAGCGGACATATGACATGACATTACAGTTCCTGTCTGTCTCCCCCACTGCAGCGCAGCTCGGGAGGGTGGGCACGGGGCCTGCTTTGCTTGCTGCTCTGCACCAGCCTCTGGGACACAACTGCACACACAGCCTGAGCTCGTACACGTCTGTACCTTGCCGCTGCATTTCCCACCTGTGTTCTATCCATGTGCACATCTATTCCTTGCAGGACCCTGCGAAGTGGCACCATTATCCCCATTCTACAGGAGAGAACACTGAGGCCCAGGGGCGTTGGCCCCAGGTGCTTACCTGGGTGGCACAGGTCCATCTGAAGCCCTCAAAGTGGCCTGTGCTCCCGTTGTCCCGCTGACCCAGCTGCTGCTTGGGCTGGCCAGGCAGGGGTGCGTCACCTTGACTGTAAAAGGCCCCTTCCTGCTCGCCCCGCCCAGCCCTGTGTGGGGAGGAAGTAAGTCCTGGCCCGCTGGGGTCTCATGCACAGGCTCTTGAAGCAGCAGCACTTCCTAAAAACTGGCGGAGTTTCGAGTGACAGGGACCTTAGCAATCGGGGTGTGAGCAAGGGAGGGACAGAGACGAAAGAGACAGCTGGGGAGAGGGGAGGGGCTGATAAGACGAGCAAGACAGTGAGACAGAGAGAAACATGCACACATGCACACGCACATGCACACATATGGACACACATGCACATACGCACACACATGCACATGCACACACACAGGAGCATGTGCACACACCAAGGAAGACGGTCACTGATGAACCTTCTCTAGGGGACCATGGTCACCCAGCCACCTCCCCACATATAAGCGAAAGTATCACCCAGCTTGGACAGTCCCGTATATTCCGCCCCACAAGCTCGCTTGCAACTCCCACAGGAGAAGAGACAAATTGATTCAGTGCTAGGAAGGGCTTTGCTTCCCTTCAAAGAAATATCTGGCTTTTTCCCTGTCTAGTGACCAGTTGGGTAATATGTTCAGTTTTTCTTTTCCCATAGGCTGCCAGGAAACTCACTGTCAAATGTGAAGCTCACCCACGGCTGTTCTAGTATGCCATAAGGACTCCGGGGCCAGACTCAGCTGTTTGACTCCCAGCTCTGCCCTCAGGACTGTGTGGACTTGGGCCAGTCCCTTATCCGCAGTGAGCCTCGTTTTGCTGACCTGTGAGAGGGGACCGACAGTGCAGGGATATAGAAAAATAGAGTGAGATGACATGTGGGAGACGCCTGGGACAGAGTAGGTGCTCAGTAAACACTCCTTCTTCGGTTAAAATTAAAAATGTTATTGCTTGTGCCTTTTCTGGAAGATTGATTCAAATCCTTTATGGAAAAAGGTGTAAAATAAACGCCCATTCACGGTAAGCTCAAGGCACGTATTGGTCTGTTCATCTGTTTCCCCATCAGTCTGGAGGCCCTGGGAGCACAAGGCCACCCTTGTGTCCTGGTGTCTGGAAAAGTGCCGGGGACATAGTGGGTGTGGGAGTGTAGACTGAATGAATGAATGAAGGGAACATAGGGGAGATGGTGTGGTTAATCAAAAACCGGCTACTATGTCCGCTCTTTTGCACTGTGATGCTGCCACTCTTCTGGGGGTGCAAGGGGAGAAGTCTTCCTTCTTTCCTGGAAGCTGAGCTGGCTTTGAGTCCTGGCTGTGAGGCAGAAATGATGTTCCTTGACTTTCGAGGCTGAGCTTTAAAAGGCCTTGCAGCTCCCACTCTTGCCCTTGGCCCCCTGCCCTGCTGCCATGAGAGCGCACCTGGGCTAGCCTGTGAGAGTAGGGAAGACCACCTGGAGACGGGTCCAGCTGTCCCGGCTGTCCCTGGTTGTTTTCTCATGAGTGAGGCCAGGTGACGCCAGAAGAAGAACCGCTAAGCTGAGCCCATCCCAAATTGCTGACCCATAGGCTTCTAAGAACTAATACATTTTTGTGGTTTAAGTCACTGACTTTTGGGGTGCTTTGTTACACAGCCACTGCTCACTGATGCAGGGGAGATTCAATGCTGTCATTTCACTGAAGAGAAAATGGAGGCTCATTTCTGGGACATGCCTGACCCGGTTGGAACTCGGGTTAGTGGCCAGTTCCAGCCCAGAAGCCAGGCCTCCTAACTCCCAGTCTAGCGCACTCAGGGCTTTTGGAACTGCCCCCTCTCCCCTGGCTTCTGCATAACTCGAGATTATTTTCTGGGAAACTTGTTGAAATTATCTCCATAGTAAACTAGATTTTTCTCAACTGATTTGGGCCTGAGGCACCACAAACCATTTATTTCCTGGGTCATTTCAAAAAGGGAAAAGTGGAGAAAGGTATAATTCCCTGTGCAGGAAAGAGTTAACTCAGCAGGGCTGAAGATGCTGTCCTCCCAAAGTCCTGCTGCTGAGGGTGGCCCTTGGCTAGCACCTGGGACCCTGGGTTTTGGGGGTGCACCCACCACCCTGACCAGTGAGAGTGCCTTGCTGCACCTGAACTATTTGTTTGGCGCCCTGGTAGAGAACATTTTACAGGTGTTTTCACAGCTTGTTGTGGAGGAATTAAGCACGTCCTGTGTGACTCCACTGCGTGCTGCACCTTCTCTGATCTTGCCCTGCATCCCTTTGCCATAATGGGTCATGATCGTCAGTCTGACTGTGCGCTGAGCCCGTGAGACCTCCTAGTGAAACACTGAGCCCAGAGTGCCCTAGGGGACCCCTGACGCATCTTGTGGCTGACCCAGTGGATACGCGGCACCGGGGCCACAAGTTTGGCATCTGGCACTTCCCTTTTGTCTGAGGGCTGGTCAAGTGGTTCAACATTATTACCGTCTCATCTGAGATGTAACTCAAATACCACCTCCTCCATGAAGCCTCCTGTGATTAAGCCTTCCCTCCCTTTCCACCACAACCCTAGTCAAGTTTAACAGACATGTGAATGTATGTGCAGATGGCCTGGGAGGGAGGAACCCTCTTACTGTGGGTGGCAAAGGGTTGGTAGAATTGACAGTAGGGAAGTCATACAGACCTTCATTCAAATTCTGACTCAGCACTGGCTAGCTGCATGATTCCCCTCCCCTCTGAGCCTCGTTTTTTACCATCTGCAAAATGGAGACAGTTAAGATTAGATTTGTTTACATGAAACAGAAAACCCAAATAATAATGGTTTAAAGAGTTAGAAATTCTTTAGAATGTAAAAATTCTCTTATAAGAAAGAAGGTGAGGTAAGCAATACAGGGCTGCCCTTGTAGCAGCCTGATCATGGATCCAGGCTCCTTCTAACTTTGTTTCTATCATTAAGGTCTCCTCATGGCCCAAAGTGGCTGCCTTATCTCCAGCTATTGTGCCTAAATTCCAGGTATGAAGAAGGATGAAGATGGGAAAGTCTCCCCTTAAAGCTCTTTCAGGCCTGAGGTCAGTCTTTCTGCCTAAATGGAGCTCTGCTTCCCACCTGTGTACCAGGCAGGAGGTCCACAGTTGGTTACGGGACAACACATGAGAGTCTCCAACAGGGTGTCCTGAAACAACCACCACTACTATTTATGGAGTGCTCATGATGTGCCAGGCACTGTGCTAAGTGTCCATCATCTCATTTAATTCTTTCCACAACCCAGCAAGGTGGATTATCACAGCCCCTGTTTTATGGATGTGGAAACTGAGTTCAGAGAGGTTAAGTCACTTGCCCAGGGTTTCACAGCCAGGAAGAGGCAAAGCTCAGACGCAAGCTCTGAGCTGTCTGACTTTAGAACCCCACTCTGAACTTGTACAAGCATTACCTCAAACACGTAGGAAGGATTCACGGGCCTGCCCTCCTCCCTGCCTGCCCACTCCTGGCAGACAATGGGGTCCAGCGCTTGAACCAAATCACAGCAAAACCATACCGGCAACGCTTTCTGTCTGTCCTAAAGCTCCGAACTCCTCACCCGAGGCCGCTGGCTCAAGGGCGAGAGAGCTGGAAGGAGCTTAGAAGTGGTTTAATTCAACGACCTCATTTTACAGATGGGAAACTGAGGCCTGGAGAGGGAGGGGACTTAACAGAGTGAGGTAGGAGCAGAATCTGCCCTTGAACCCACTTTGGCCGCCCAGTCAGAGCAGCCATTCATTCATTCATTCATTCATTCATGTTTATCGAAGGCCTGCTGTGTGCCATGCACTGCTCTTGGCATTGGCACAAGACAAAAACTCCCTGCCCTCACGGGGCACATGGTCGAGTCAGCTGGGCCAGGCGGGTGGCAGCAGGGGTGGACAGAGTGGGACATGCCTGCATCTTGGGACAGCCGAGGGTCTGGGCTGTGAGACTGAGCTGTGAGGGGGGCTCAGGACGCACTGGGGCTCTCCAAATATGCCCGATCCCCCCAGCCCTGCCACTCCTCCTCCAGGGTGGCCGTAAGATTTGCCGGGAAGCAGTCGTGCAGGCAGAGGGACAGAGGAAGCGGGACCCAGGCGAGGGTCTGTGACTCGGTAGTCCCCAGGCAGGGATGGGGCCCAGGGCAGCGGGGCACGCTCCGACGTTCAAGGTCACTTCTAGGAATTGGCCCCAGCCCGGAGGCTCCTCCCAGCATCACTGATAACGAGTGAAGTTGGGAAGAGTCTCAGTGCTCATCAGAGCACAGGCGGTTCATAAGTTACGCTGCGTCCTGGCGACAGGTCAGTGAGGGTCATTAAGGAGAATAACAATGAGGTAGAATTCAAGCGTCTACCTTCGGTTGTAAGTAAAGTTGACCCACACCACCGGCTTAAACTGGAGCTCACTGGCTCAGTCCCTGCAGACTCTGGAATGGGGTTGGCCTGGGGACACAGACACCAGAGACTAAAATGTCCTTGCTCATTTCCTCTCTCTCTTTCTCCCAGCTCCAGGTTTGCATCAAATCACCTTTGCCTTCAGAGAGGGCCAGCCAAAAGGAAAATTCTCCGGGCAACACTTTGGTTGGCCAGGCCTGGGCCACGTGCCCATCCCTGGAACAACCGTGGCAACACCCCGGGAGAAACGCCGCCATCGGCCCAGGCCTGTGGCCAGAGGGAGGCGAGAGGGATGCACGGCCCCACCAGAGCCACGGGGAGAAGGCATTTCCTTAAAAGCAGGAAGGCTGGGCAGAGCAGAACGCAGACCTCCACGCTGGCTATTTTCGGTAAGTTTTTTATCTTTTTAGTTTTTCTTATTTTTATTATACCCATGATCCCGGATGATATCAATTTACATGGACACTTATCCTAAACGCAGAACTGAGAGTGTGTGTGTTTACATACAGCGGGGGTCAGGGGCCCAGACGCTGGAGCCAGACTGCCTGGGTTCAAGTCCCGACCCTGCCTCTCTGCCCCATCTCACCACGGTCTTAGGCGATTGACTTAACCTCCCTGAGCCTCATCTGCACAATGGGTATAATAACAGTGCTTACCCCATAACGCTGGTGTGAGGATTAAATGAGTTAAGCCACGTCAAGCGTGTCCGAGCAGCGCTTGCCA